AATCGACAGGAGGCGGTGAGTTCTAGTCCCGCCTTAGGCATGAAAGCTGGCTCACTAACTTTGTGCCAGTCAGCAAGAGATGGTGAGTTCTAGTCCTGCCTTACATACAAAACCGACTGGGGGTTTTGGGGCCTGTCCCTTTGCTCTTAGCCCTAGGAAAAAAGAGCCGGAGCAAACCAAAAATATTGCCAAGAAAACGGCAAGGCCTTATTCAGTCTGATTCAAAGATGGGAGGGGGGAAAAAAGGAATAAACAAAGGAAAATAAAAAAAAAAGAAAAGTCCATAGAATTTCCCCCCCCCGAATGCTATAGCAGAATGAAATGTGCGTCAGAAACAGAAGTTAAATCTAACTTGGAAAGGAAAAAAAAGAAAAAAAAACCCCTCAACTGATTAGAAAGGGTATTTTTTCAATAGAAAGCCACTGTGGATATGAGGAGACGGAGAGGCGGGGGGGGAAAAGGACCTGAATTCTCATTTGGGCATATATATATATATATATATTCTAAAACTTATTAGTCATGTATTTTCACCCACCTTCTTCTTATACAACAGTCCGAGCAGCTTTTCAAAATCCATCTCCGGATTCTTAACCTTTCAAAGTGCTATCTTAATATCCCCCCATAACGCTCTTTCATTGCTGGGTTAGTTTAATTTTCTAAATTTTACTGTGTGATTATTTGGAGGGCTGAAATCAAATGCTCATCTGGCTTTCTATTTCCTTCTGTATTTTATTAGGCAGCTTAGAACTTACATTTTTTTAAGTTCAATATTTTTTCTGTTATTGTGTGATTTTTATATAACTCCTGAGTTATATAATGACTCTGTAATGAAGTTTCATATAAAAAATGTTGGTAAACATACGAGGTTTATGGAAAACTTTGATGAAGTTGAACAGATTTCCAAGGAGAGAGAAAACATTTTTTAAAAACTTAAAATAATATTCTAAAAGTTTTATTTAAATTACCAAATTATTAAGGGGAGTTGGAACTGTATTCCAATACATAATGCTTTCCTGTGCTGGTTTTTCTAATTGCATTAAGATACTTATGGTTAAATAATTTTAATCAAGCTTTCATTGGATCTGGAACTGCTTATTTCATTTCATTTATCTGTATTTTTCTGCAAAATTTGCAAAATGCAACCTCACATCTTTGGTGGATTGGGATAAAGGGAAGAAATATTGAGGCCAGATTTTTGTTTCAATTCCAAAGATTCTTAAAACAAAAATAAAACTGAAACCAGAATGCTTTTCTTTTAGGACTCTTGGACAAGGAACTAGAAAAAATAAATTGGAACATTACCTATGCTGACTTCAGTGAGAATTATATATGCACAAAAATGGAAAGACAGGAGATTCTCAGTCATCCAAGTCAGGTTGTCCCAAAGGAGCTTTTTCAAAAAGCAACAAGACTTTCTTTGTTTTTTTGCTTGAAGATGTTTTGCTTCTCATCCAAGGAGCTTCTTCCGTTCTGACTGAATGGTGGAGGATGGAAGGATTTATATTCCTTGCAGTCATCTGGTCATTAGTACTCTCTCTGAGAGCCGTTGAGGCCACTTCCGTCCTCCACCACTCAGTCAGAGCTGAAGAAGCTTCTTGGATGGTAAGTGAAATGTTTTCAAGGAAAAAACACATAAAGTGCAGTTGGCTCTTGAAAAAGCATATTTGGGAAAGACAAATTTGAAGATTAGATGGAAAAAGTGATGAAGACGGCAGGCATGGCAAAACTGACTGCTTTAATTCAAGAAATAATTCCTCCTGTTTTATTTCCACTTGGAAACCACTTCTGGGCTTTAAACTTCAAACAGAAAAAAAAATGGACATTTGATTTTAGGTTTAGATTATTAAGTTAACTTGGTTGTTAGAGAAATGAATAGTTATAAAAATGAATAGCACTTGCTAAATAGGAGCAAGTATAGGAACTTCTGTGGTGCAGTAGTTAGAGTGCAGTACTGCAAACTACTTCTGCAGGCAGCTGCCTACAATTTGGCAGATCGAATCCCACCAGGCTCAAGGTTGACTCAGCTTTCCATCCTTTCGAAGTGGGTAAAATGAGGGCCCAGACTGTTGGGGGCAAGAGGCTGACTCTGTAAACCGCTTAGAGAGGACTGTAAAGCACTATAAAGCGGTATATAAGTCTATGGACTATTGCTATTTCTTCCTTCCTTCCTTCCTTCCTTCCTTCCTTCCTTCCTTCCTTCCTTCCTTCCTTCCTTCCTTCCTTCCCTCCCTCCCTCCCTCCCTCCCTCCCTCCCATCCATCCCAGCTCAAGGTTGACTCAGCCTTCCCTCCTTCCAGGATGAGTAAAATGAGGACCCAGATTGTTGGGGGCAAGAGGCTGACTCTGTAAAGCGCTTAGAGAGGGCTGCACGATAAAGCAGTATATAAGTCTAAGTGCTATTGCTATTGCTAAACGTCTAAAGCAAAAAGTTTGAGGTTGTAACTGTATTTTGTATTCTACTGCACTGAAAAACAATTGGAAGTCACCATTTTTTCCCTCTCTTTTCTTTATTTTTCCCTATTTCCTTATCACTTTTGTTTTTATTTGTATAATGAAGTTGAATAAAAAA